GCACAAATACAAATATTCAAAAAAGAAAGTGGTAATCTTGCTTCCGAAAATGTTTATTTCTTCTTCAGGATGTACTACAACAATAATTGTATGTCAGTATTGATCAAATGCGATATCATAAGAAAAAAAAACTACGTTATACTTATATACTTTGATTGACGTGTCTCCATGAAATGTTGAGTATGGAAAATGTAATTACATTTTATCAAAAATAGAAAGTAGCAATGTCAAATTACCCATAGTAAACATTAAAATTGTCACTCGAGTCATTGGGAAGATTGCAGTGGAAATAATGAGGAAATTTTTTCCCTCATTAGTTTTTTCTTTCTTCATTATTTCCTCCGCAATGCTGCTTTGTTGTTATTTATTTGTGTGGTATATGGAAAATAACATTTTTATTGTATCACATCGTTGAAATGAGTTGCGTAAATAAATAAATAAAATACAATCAACGGATTGTAGATTATATTTCTTTTCTGCCGAAACTCTCGAATGTTAGCCCTGATCAAGACTTAATAACCTAAATCTAGTATTTTCTTGGTAATATTTTTGCTCTTCCACAATAATACCGGGGATTTTGAATCATCGGAAATAAGTCCAGGTCTCTGTTCGTGCCCTGATAAATCCATGGATTAAATGGTTAACGATACCAAAGTTCGCAAATGGGGAGGTATATTAAAATAAGGGTTTCCTAACCCCAACATACCGGAAATGCGCTTATTTTTATTTTGAAGATGCGGATTTTTGTCATAAGTATTGACATCCTCGGCATCTCAACCAGCAAATACCGATACTTCTCCATGTACATCCAAAACAAAGATAATCTCATGCTCACTTGTTTCTTTTGAGAGGCTTTGCTGGGTTTGCTCAGTGGCATTTTCGGGCCATCTTGGCATGTTGCAGCCTATTGTTTCAATAATCTATACTGTCTGCAAAAGAAAATGAACTGTCGCTTCTAATATAAGATATATTGTTACTGTCACTTGTTTTGTACTTTTTTTATACCGAAGCAGAAGCCTAAATGCCGGGACACCGCGGCTGCTATGAGGATCTCAAAGAAATTTTGTTAATCCGATTTTTGAACTGCCTAAGGTTAATAGAACTGGGAAAAGCTTCCTCTTGTAGAGTGTTCCACAATCTCGACATCCTCGGGACTAAGGAGCAATCGTATCGGTCAGTTCTGGATGTACGAAGTTCGGCACAATTAGGATGGTAGGCCAAAGTCAGGCGGGTCTGTCTGGCAAGCACATCGCACGGCGGCATCATGCAGGAAAGCTCTGAGGAGCAAAGCTTGTTGGTGTAGCGGTAGAAAAGTACTTCTTAGCCCCAAACAAATAGCCTAAGCTTTTTCCTAGCAGCTGCCGCTATTGACGAGGTGTATTCATGCCAGATCAAGTCCTCGGTGATCTGGTCTCCGACCAGCCGAAATGAACAGCGCTTTGACGGAACTCGGACATCCATCGAAACCGGATGAGCGCTAGGACGCTTTTTGTTCGTCACGGTACAGTGCTGTGCTTTGGAAGCATTAAATTGTACAAGATTGTTGAGTCCCCAAGCAGTGATAACCTCCAGGTCTCTCGTCAGAGAGGAAGTCTTCGCTAGTCTTCTTTTTTAAGCTCAGGATTGGGTTGGTTGAAGCCTACGTATGTGGTTTCATTTAACGGTCAGAGGACATGAAGAATTATTAGCATGAAAACCACAGAATCAGTTTCAGATGTTACATCAACAAATACTTGTAAATAATGGTAAAATTCATTATTGCCGATATAAAATTAGCCACATTATACGGAAACATGTTAAAATGTACTTAATTGAGAAATATTTTTCAAGGTAATGTAGCTCGATTAATGATGACACATACAACTAATCCAAGGTAGCACGTGGGTAGCCATATATTTTACCATGTAAAAATTGTGCTTGAAAAACTTACCTTTCTATTAAAATGAATCGAACATGCTGTGTTATTTAACCCTAACAGTGTATTGGCTTTCTTTGTTGTCAAACGTTGCTATAAACTGCATTTGAACCATGGATTTATCGGTGTATCAAAAGTGGTGGGGTATTTGGGCCTAGAATAATCAAGAGGCTTAATCTTGGGCTGATTTCATGAAAAAAGTTGGTCGAAATATTTCCAAATGTCGAAATTGTTCAAGAATAATCAGAGCTGATGCTATCATAGCCAATGTTGGGCAATTTGTGCCTATGATCATCAGACACACGCTGATTCAAAATGTAAAAAACAAGCCAAAGTCTTTGGAAGAGGTGGTCTTTAATTGTATAGTTTCATTCAAATCTATTTTGTATTTTTTAGCCATTATTTTCATGACAAACAGTTATTGACAGTGTTTCATTAACCCATTTATGCCTAATGTACTATGAATAGTACAGCCTAAACTTGTTTGTTCCTGTAGATATCTGTACGATTTGGTTAAATTGAATAGCTCGCGTCGACAGTTTGCGGGTGGATCTCGTACAGTACCGAGTAATTTTGCGTATTGTACAATATTTTGTATGTGAAATCAGTTTTTGTATATTGGAAAATAGAAGATGAATGAATATGGCGTGCGCTTTGCAAAGTAAGTAGGTTTTTTGACTTAAAATAAAAAAAAAATGTTTATTTTTATGAAAATATTATTTCCTTAGTCGCGGCTTCTAGATTTTATAATTTTATGATGTGTTTCATTTATGCTTTGTTTGTGAGGTTATGATAAAGTTAGGTCTACTATATTTAGTACATCAGGAAAAAAGTTCATAGTCAAAACAAAAATAAAATGGTTTTAGGTAAATTGTTTTTGAATAAGTAATTATTTTGAGAAGGAACATTTGTTTCAGGGGTTTTTCTTTGCATGAGGCGCTAGCAATGATAGAAAATGACGACATTGAAGCAGAGTCTATCACTTTGTTACCTCCCACTAATGCATGCGGTAACATAACCGACGAGGATTCTGGAGACGAAGAAAGACTAGATATCAACAACTTGCCAGGAAGCTTAATGCAAGCTGAGGTCGAAGTAAATAGGAATCGAAACGAGGATATGTGGAGTTCCGAAGATGAAATACCACTCAGTGAAATCAGGGGTAATAATCGGAAGGAAGTGAAAAAGAAGAAAACATATAATTACGTAAAAGATGATTTGCCATGAAATGAGTATGCGTTTCCAATAAACAACGAAAACCAAAATGAACAAGAGCAGTCCCCAACCGAGATATTTTTTAGTTTTTTTGATGACGAAATTTTGAACATAATAGTTGAGGAGACAAATCGGTATGCTCAACAGAAAAACAGGAGTATTATGGTTACCAAATCTGAAATCAAATGTTTTCTAGGCATATTATTGTTGAGTGGCTACAGTAGTGTATCTCGCAGAAGGATTTATTGGGAAAAATCCAGTGATTCAAACAACTCACTTGTTTCTGAAGCTATTTCTCGCGATAAATTTGAATTTATAATGTCTCACATTCACTTCCTAAACAATGAAGCTCTGGATGCAAATGATAAATTTGCTAAACTAAGGCGTCTTTTCAATCACCTAAATAAAATATTTTTGGAATACGCAGTACCAGAAGAGCATCATAGTATTGATGAGGCAATGTTTTCGTACCACGGGCGACATGGTTGTAAACAGTATATTCACCTGAAACCAATACGTTATGGGTTCAAATTTTGGGTTGGCGCTACTACTCTTTGTTACTTCTTATGGTTTGAACCTTATCAGGGTGCTTTGACGTATGTGAACGGGGCTTACAAATCTTTAGGTGTTGGCGCATCAGTTATATTGAGCTATGCTGATAGGCTAAAAAGCAAATGGGCAAATCTTAGGTTTCATTTTGTATTTGATAATTTTTTTTCTTCACCAGCTTTGTTTGAAAGCTTGACTGAAAAAGGCATATGTGGTACAGGAACAAATCTTGAAAATCGTATACCCATGTCTTCTTTGAAAAATTCAAAACTTATGAAAAAGGAACAACGTGGAGTGTTTGATTATACCAAAGTAAAAGATAAAAACTTAATTTTTGTAAAATGGAATGACAACAATATTGTTGGGTCTACAGCGATTGGAATTGAACCAGTAAATTCAGTAAAGCGGTATTCTCAAAAAGAAAAAAGTTTGTGTATGTAGATCAGCCCCAAGTTGTCAAGCTGTATAATAACTTTATGGGCGGGGTGGACAGGTCAGATCAGAATATAGCTCGATACAGAGTACAAATCCGAGGCAAAAATGGTATTTCTCGTTGATCTCTCAATGTGTAGATATGGCCCTGACAAACGCCTGGCATATTTATATAAAGAGAGGAAATAACGTGGATCAATTACAATTTAGAAGAAGTGTAGCTACAACTATCTTGACACAAAATAAGAAGACTTATACGTACCAGCAAGGTAAATCAAGAAATTTTGGTGACATAAGGTATGATCGCTTAGATCATTTAGTCATTCCACAAGGCAAACAAACAAGGTGTGCACCCTGTCATGAGCGCACGACTACTAGATCTGGAAAATGTGATGACGGCCTTCACGTGAAATATTTTGTTCAATATCATACTCTTTAAAATTTGCAATATTGATGTGTTTCAAAATATTTGTACTATTTTCAATATTTTTTTTATTATTATTCTTATAGCTACCTTTATTCCTAATGTACTATGTTTATGTATTTTTTTTAGAATAAATTGAAAATACCTCCAAAGTGTCGTCTTTTAATAAGGTTTTTTAAAAAATAATAAAAACTTTTTTGCAACTCTTTAGGCATAAATGGGTTAAACTCGGTCAAGTTGTTTATGATCTATTTAAAAAAAATTGAATGTTCTGTATTTTTGATTATCCTCTTCAGTCCCAAGAAATTGTTTTATTTTCTTTTCTTGAAATTTTAGGTAAAATAACTTTGCCAGGATTCAAAAAAAGCAAGAAAATATATTTTACAAATAAACTTTACTTAAAAAAAATATATATAACATGTCCAGTATTTTGGACAAATGGACTCAACTATCTAATTATGAAATTCAAAGAAACATTGCCTTTCTGGGGAAATACACAAATTTCTTCTTGCATTTTTTAGCAGGTCGGCTCGATTCTTCATCTGGGGTGGATGGACTAGGATCTTGGGAAACTGTTGTTTGTGCCCCAAGGGCAAGACATTTTCCAATATACAATTTGAATTCAAGTAAATCCATGATTGAGCTTTTCCTATCTCCACGAGCGTTGCAGTCTTGTCGGTATTCGATGCATGAATTTGTGATTGATAGATCGATAAAATGCCAGAAAACTCTCACTGGCCATTTTTTGGTTCGCATACAGATTCGATAATAAGATATTAGTCTATCACACAAGTCTACTCCTCCCATAGAACGGTTGTAACTAGTTACAGAATTTGGACATGGGACAAGAATATATTTTGAATTCTTTTTATCCCATCGACGTACGTCTGTTTGCGGTGCAGAACCTGTTGATGATGATGCCATTGTAACTGATCTGTTGTCCATCCATTTGAGAATGGTACATTTTTTGTCTTCTCTTATGAATTCGTCGAAGGAACCGCGACCTTCTGAGAGCAGCTCTTTATCATTTTTCATTTTGTTTCTAAAATCTCGTGGAATCAGGTTGTTCATAATTGTTCCCGTTCCCAATATTCCTTGTGTCAGTAAATGATCCAGTAGACTGACTGAAGTAAAATAACAATCAAAATAAATTATGTGCTCTGGTGACAAATCTGCTGCAAGCTTCTTAACAACCGAACCACCTATTCCTAAATTTTGATCGGGAGAACCATCCGGCCAAGTTTTTGCACCTTGGTAAATAAAAAAATCTAGTACGAGTCCAGAAGGTGTAGCCAAAACAAAATTTTTTAATTCCACAGGATTTGGCTTATTTTTAACATACTGCCGTAGAGATGTGGTACCAGTGAATGGGATCATTTGTTCGTCGATGCACAATTCTTTACTTCTTGGTAAAGTGACACATTTTCTACGAACCGCATCGATGATAGGTTGAACTTTCCACAGCCGATTTGACTTCTTTACCTCATTTGGAACACTAAGGTTATTAACAACGTGTAGAAAATTTCTTAATTTGAAAATACGGTCTCTTGGTAATTGAGTGATGCTGGATATTTCAATTCCCTTCATGAAATATAGCCGCAATCGTCCAAAAATGCCCATTAAAATGTATTCCAACCAATGTGCGATATTCTTTGGCTGTTGACTTTAGAGGTTTCTTTTCGTTTCCCTGCATGGCACGAATATTACTTTGTTCTGCCAAATTTTCCCAAAACTCATCTGGGAAATATTCCAAAAAATAGTTCAGCGGTGACCTATACTCATGATCATCTTGTACCTGCCATTCCGGATCAAGGTAGACTTCTTCTCGATTTTCAAAAACTCCTCTTTTCCATTTTTCCTCGTTTTTTTGTTTTTTTTGTGCTTCTGACGTAGCTGGTCTCTTATTTTGGACAAAGGTACATCATCGTCAGTCTCCTCTTCAACGGTATCAGGAACTGGATCTGCGTCTGGCGGCTCAAGAACAGCCTCCTCGACATCACTTGCCTCAATTGTGTCATTGACTTCAGGGACGACTTCTTCCTCATCATCGCTCAAGTAGAAGTCACTATCATTTAGAATTGCCTCAAGATCTTTATCCGTCAGTATTGACTTGCCAGCTTGCGGAAAAAGAAACAAAATGATAACAATCAAATAGGGAAACTTACGTCAAAAATCAAAAAACTGCTTATAAACTTGAACCAAATAGAATCCCCATGTCCAAAATACTGCACATAATCAAAAACCTGTTGCTATGCAGAGATACCACACAATTTCTGTAGGTATATTACTTGAAACACTAAATTATAGTTATTTTATTTATTTCTAACTAATATTTTATCAAAACATTAGATTAAAATGCAAATATTACCTAGTTTCTGTTACGACGCCATCCCTAACCTCAAAGCACGTGCACCGGCAAATTAAAACTGAAACAGCATCAACGTTGCCAAATATTTTTTACCGAAAATTTTACGGCGTATATTAGAAGGTCCAGTCCGCTGCACAGCGGGCCGGAAATCCTACTAGTTCATCCTGAACCTCTACAGAAATATTACGAAAAATGTCCAGTGGGCTGGACGTGTGGACTGAAGAGGTTATTATATATGTATATTGTGAAAGGGTTGAGGTATGTGAAGGATAGGAGTAAAAAAGAAGGACTAGCCAGATCTAACTTATTCAAGTTTGTTCTGTTATCAACTAATGTCCGATCTCTAAATGAGGTCAAATTTGACAAGTTTCCACAGTGCCCGGTCTATCATATACTTATGATATTCCGTTTTGCTGTAGGCTGGAAGTTTGTGTGATATCATATTCGAGGTCAAGAGGCTTAAATACATATCTTTCATCATTGTTTGTCAAACTCATTTGGAACTAACTTACCTCTAAATTGTACCATTTGTCTCAATTAATGGTTTGTATAGGGTGTTTGAAAATATATGGAAAATGTTTAAAAATAGAAAAGACAATGTGATAGATCTCTATAAGTAATATTCTATATAGGTACATACTCCTCTAGAACTCGATTGATCCATACAAAGAAATTTTGAACTTATTTGGCAAGAATATATTCCCAGTGGCGTCCTTTAAGGGCCTACTAGGATATTTTTTTGATGGAACTTATCGCATTATTGAGTTTTGCATGAATTTTAATCTGGGATTTTACCAACTGCTTCATACATTGTGTAATATTTTTATTTGCTTTTTTAGATGCTGATTGGATTATCAGGTTATTTAACGGGATATGATGGCAAATTTGCATTTGACAAACCGGGAGATAAATATGAAAATACTTCATATCTAGGAATGAGATTGGTAAGTTATAATACATTCGGTACAGATATCTTGTGATTAATATTGTACTTCCCAAAAATTGAAATGCTTGATATGCAAACTGAAAAATAACCATAATCCTGAAGTTTGTCGCAACCATAAGGGTTTCAGGTATTAACATTGCAGTAGGCTATTTCCCACGTACAGCAGCAGTAGTAGTTTTTTTTAAAGTACCGTTGCCAAGCCGCAACCTGGAGCGAGTTGGTCTATGAACCTCCTGACGGGCTGAACTGCAGCAGTTGGTATATCTTCGCTGTCCTTTTCTTTATCATCTTCTTAGTTTCGCCAAACGTCTCCCTTCCCGGATCAACCGGATTAGTTAGTAGTTCGGGGAGGTTGAATGTGTCGATCCTCTGGTCCTATCGAACTGATTTGTTAGTTCAGCCATTTATTCTTCTCTGCTAGTCATGTATCGATCTGGTACGAGGTTTTGTATGCCCTTGTCCTGTATCCGTTTTCCTGACTAGTATGCCTCTTGCCATATTCGCGACAGCAATCCAGTTATCGAGAGACTGCACCATCAAGTTGACAATATTGTCGAGGGTAACTTCCGTGCCCAAGCACCTGCTGCGTTCTTCTCTAGCTATATCCTATCTAGAACACCTGAAGAAGGCATCGTCCATGACTTCGCAGGATGAGTCGTCACAAATGGCGAATCTGTTAAGATACGCTTGGAAGCACCCGTGCCCTGTCAACAGCTGGGTCAGATAGAAGTCCAATTCGCCATGCTCCTTCTAACCCATGCCTCTAGATTTGGTATAAGTGCCCATGTCCAGCGACCCTTAGTGTCTTCCAGAGTTAGTGGGATCTTCATGCACCTGCCTTCTCATTTCCACTGTTAGGTCTATAGGCAGCGTATCAGGAATAACTTCTTCAGCCTCAGCCGATACCTTGCAGTATGCACTAATAATTCGCTGCCCTATCATTCTACTAATTCTCTTCTGCTTGACAAGATGACGTTTCACCCTCATGACCTCTTCTCATATCGGTGATGCGAATACCATAGCAAAGTAAGCCACTGAACCTAAAGTCGCTCGCTTGCGAACCTCCAATCTTGGGTATCAGTCTAGCTAGAAGTGCGACAAGTTCTATCTTGATCTTGCGGTTCTCCAAGTAACTCGCAAGCAGGCGCAACACACCACCATCTGAGCTTGCTAATGATTTCACCTCTGGATGCCACGTTGAATGCATTCCGTACATCACGAGTTACGAGTATAAGAGCGCATAGCTGCCTCTCCCTATTAACGATGACGTCTGACTGCTTGGCAATTTTTATGACAACCTGTATGGCATCTAAAGTTGATTTCTTTTGCGGAAACCATACTGTCTAGGAAATGTTCACTCAGGCTGCTACAATAGGTTAGGTTACTGCCAAACCCATGAAGGGTCTGTTCGAAGAGCACAATGCAATCCTGAGTTGTTACATTTGGCGACAGCGTTGCGGTCGGAAAATGCAACAACGTTACGCATTACAAATTGTCACTGGCTGCGTGTACGCAGGTGAAAGCCATTTCGAAGCAGGACGACACTCCCCTACGAGCGCTAGATAGGTACTGAACAAAATATCCCAACTATGAACATGCAAACCATGCCATGGAATGTACAAGATGTGGTGTTACCAATGATGCAATGTTGCAGACTTTGTGGCGATCTCACCTTTCATTTCAACCTAAAATGAAGCGCCGTTGGGACCGATCGAGAATCAATCATAAACAGATTCGACACAATTCACAATTCAAAAATGTGTACGAATAATTCCATTATTTACGCGTAAAGAATAAACTAACGTATATTTTTAATATGCATTTAAATAGAAACCTATTGATTAACGTATTCTACCAAAAGATATCCAACCATGTACTGTATTGCGGCGTCCAAAAAAGGTCTGAAAGATATTAGCGCTATCTAAGAGACAGTAGCGGAACACAAAAACTCATTTAGAAATCCACTTTGAAAAGAGTTTGGTTCTGCTACTGCCTCACATATGACGCTAGGAAGTATAATCCCTTTTTGGCTCTAATGCCTATATAATAGGGTATCTTCAGGCTACGTACGCACGTATTCCACCTAATGCATCAAGTGCGTCTATAGTAGACATTTCCTTTCTGAATCAGCCTCTTTTCGCCTCTTCGAAAGCGCTTCCGTTCTGAGATAATTATTTATCGCGATAGTAGTCTGTTCTTCGATAACCGAAATTATCCACGTCGGAATGGAGGAATACATCCCTCAAACAGTGAAAGTTCCTAAACCAGGGTCCAACGGCTGGTTCAACAAAACGTGTGACAATGCAAGTAAGGTGATGGAGAGGTGCATACATCGCGAGCTTCTGAACTATCTCGAACGTCACTGCTTGATTAGCGGCACGCAGTATGGTTTAGCACCAGCGATCCACAGGGGACCTTCTAGCTTACGTCACGCAATTGTGGAGTAAACTTATCCAGTCTTATGATGAAGCTTATGTCGTTGCTCTTGATATCACGAAAGCGTTCGATCAGCTGTGGCACGCTGCCCTCTTATGCAAACTTCCATCCTATGGCCTCCCAGAAAAGCTTTGCAGATGGGTGGCTGAATTTATCTCTGGATGCAATATCCGTCGTAATTGACGGGTTCTTCTCTTCATCCCACAACGTCAACGCGGCTGTTCCCCAGGGATGCAGGAATTCGGAGTGACAAGCCGATCTCTGCCGCTAAGCTAGAAAAAAGACTGGCGACGACTTCCTCTCTGACCAGAAACCTGGAGGTTATCACTGCTTGGGGACGCAACAATATTGTACAGTTTAATGCTTCCAAAACACAATACTGTACCTTGACGAACAAAATGCGTCCTAGCGCTCATCCGGTTTCGATGGATGGTCGAGTTCTGCCAAAGAACTGTTCGTTTCGTCTGGTCGGAGTTCAGCTTACAGAGGACTTGATCTGGCACGAACACATCTCGTCAATAGCGACAGCTGCTGGGAAAAAGCTAGGCTATTTGTTTAGGTCTAAGAAGTGCTTTTCTCCGCATGACCTTCTCACGCTATACAAGGCACAGATAAGGACTATCCTCGAGTATTGCTCACACGGTTGGGGTGCTACCGCCCCAACTACATTATTTATGTTCGATGTCCAGAGGAGGGCTGTCCGACTGATCGATGAATCTTCTCTAACAGAGAGTCTCGGGACTCTTTCGCACCGGCGAGCCATCGGCGATCTAGCTCTCTTCTACCGCTACATCAACGGGCTTTGCTCCTCAGAGCTCTCTTCCATCATGAAGCCGCGTGATGTGCCTGCCAGACAGACCCGCCTGACTTTGGCCTCCCATCCTACACCATGTTGAACTTCGTACGTCCAGCACAGGCCGATACGACCGCTCCTTTGTCACGAGAGAGTCGAGAATGTGGAACAATCTACAAGAGGAAGCTTTTCCCAGTTCTATTAACCTTAGGCAGTTCAAAAATCGGATTAACAAAATTTCTTTGGGACCCTCATAGCAGCGCGGCTGCTCGGTATAAAAAAAGTACAACATTCAGTATTGGTATCTGGTGATAGATAGCTCTTTGCGATGTCTTATTTCGATAGACCGTACCTTCTGCATAGAACGAATGAAAGCATCTCATTTCATTCGTTGTGTCAGAGTCGAGAGACCAAGCTTAAACCATGGTGATTAGTAGCCAAAAAGCACGAAACAGCAATCCATGGTTGGCTGTCTTTTGATGGGACGAACGAAAGCATCATGTTTAGTATATAAAAACGTATCGATCGATTATTCAGTTTAAACGAATTTTTGCATCTCACAAAAACCTTCACCATTTTTCACAATTGTCTGAAACACTAGCGCTTACAAAACCCACGCGCTGGATGTTTAGCACAAAAATATTAATTTCATATGAAATGTCTCGTCTCGTCGTTTGTTATTTGAGCAGGACCTTGGCTCTTGTCTGGCAGAATGTTTTCTTTCTTCAAAATCTTCCTGAGCCCAGCCAGGAGAGATTTTTTGTCAAATAAGATAGAGGAAGACGAAAGAAAGGAAGAAAAGGAGAAAGGGAAGAAAAAAGGGGAATAGAATCAATGCATAAGAACGAAATTTATTTAATCTGTACTCCGAATGGTGCTTAATCTGGTTAGAGTATTGCCAAAAGATTTATAATTTAGAGAGCCAGACGGGGTCTTTTTTGTTTAGGAACTTGAGCCGGAGTAGTGTCCACTGCGGCACGCAACAAAGGGTTACTATAGGAGCTTGCGATTTCATAACGCTTCCTAGCCAGTAACTTCATCTGCTCAAAGATCGTAGGTATTTGCAGATCTCTATGAATGGAGATGTACCATGGGGCACATACTATAGTGCGGAGAATTTTGCAGGACGGATAATCGTAGTATAAAGGCGAATTTTATTTTGACTTTCGGTTCAGTAGCGGATACAAGTGCCGAAAAGGTATCAATGCATTTTTTGTTCAATTTTGAATATGAGTTTGCCAAATCATAGTTTTATCTAATGTGACTCCAAATATTTCGCAGTTGTTCCCCATGGGTCAGGAACATCATTAACCGAGATCTGCTCTGGTGCAGAATGCCTTTTCTGAGTAAAGTAAAGAGTCATTAATTTTGATGCGCCACCGGAAGGCCCACTCATATACTTCATCCACGGCATCCTGCAGTCTCTCACTCACCAGATCAGGCGAGGTGAAGAGACTACCAGAGACGTGTCATGCGCATAAAGAAGTACCTCGCTGTGGGTGGGACAAGGGATGTCATGAGTATATAAAGAATAGAGACTAGGCCCTAGGACCGAGCCCTGGGGGACGCCTGCCCTGATAGGATGATACGTAGAATAAGTATCCTTAATTTTGATCCTGAAATTTTTTCCTTCCAAGGATTTAAGCAATTTTGACAGCCAAAATGGAGGTCGCTTATAAATCAATTTACAAATCAGCCCTACATGCCACCCCTTATCGAAAGCCTTTGAAACATCCAAAAAAAGAAGTCCAGTACTTTGATTTTAAGTGAATACAGAGGTTATCGTCTCCACAAGTTTCATTGCCTGTTGCTCCGTACTGTGCTCAGCGCGAAATGAAATGTCAACAGCTATCAAGCTGGACGCTCAAGTCTGATCGACTTGTAGTATGAATTTTCATCCTTACTACAGACCATGAGATATTGCGGTCGTCAGCTGCTTTCGATGAGAACGGTCCCTAACTCTCATAGACGATTTACTTCCAAAAAAATGATTTTGTCGTACTATTTTGTACACCTCTACAAAGAAAGGGGTACAGTAATAGACAGGGAGCGACTTGGTAATTAATAGACCTGGAAACTCGATCAAGACCTTAGGACTTTATCTATACGAAGCAAAAAAATACGTAGCAATGCAGAGTCAATGAGAGTGGAGGATTTAGAATGAAGCGAGTCTCCACTCTCTAGGCGCCCAAATCTGCCATTTTTTACCAAGAAATTGAATATATTGCTGTATCTTGGTGTGTAAATTACCTTGCTAGACTTAAATTGTGAGAGCACTTGCTCTCAGAAGCGCTGTTTAAATGCTTAAACCGCCATCAATTATTGATCCACTAACATCTTCCTGACAATGAATGTTGCGGCCGCCACTGCGCCTCCTAGACAGATTCCTAAATCTACCTTTGGATAAGGACGAACTTTCGGAGTAGTAGGGCTCTTATTTTTATGCTTTTTTCAGTTTTGTACGGCGCTTGGAGCAACCGTAGTTCCTCTGACATTCCTGACAGTCGAGGAAATGACACATAGTGTAAATTCAGCATTATATGCCTCGCTGCTTATATTGTTTGGTAAGTGATCATACTTGTTTATTTCAATCTGCTATTAAGCCAGATAACTTGACGGAAGTTGTGGATAATATTCCGGCGTAAACTGTAAGAGGACAAAATATTTGGTAAAATCATACCAAAAAGGAAACTTACGTCCAAGTATGCGTCGTGCCAGGCAGACACCATGCAGCTGTTTTTGTTTCTATTAGCGAAACTTGACATAAAATCACTTTTTTTTTTCATGCAGATATTTTATTGTTAATGGAATGTTGGTATCCCTTTTCTACGAGTACCCTAAAATAAATTTTGAAATAAAGTATTGCAAGAAAACGTAAAAAAATTGGCGATCTAGGATTTTTTCTTCTAATTTCAAATCTCAAGAAAAATATTTGCTTTCACACGTTAAAGAATACAATAAATTTTAAATTAAAATATGTCCTTCAGCTCAGGATGGTCCTGCAGTTCTCATTGAAAGCTTATTCTATTAAGAAGGTACTGTAATTTCATGGAAATAAAACAAAAATTATTTTAATCTGAACTAAAATGTATTTTAAGATATTATTTCTTTACATTGCTACAAATGTGCAAAGCAAGGAATATGTTTGGCAATAGACATTTTCCTGCAGCTATTGTTATCAAGTTGGGGCATTTTTAAGCTATTCAAAAAAATTCTATGTATGAGGGAGGTTTGGAGAAACGATTTTCATTTTTCGAAAAAATACACTGCTTATTGTTTATAGTTATTTAATATTGGCGCATGCTTAGGTGTTTAAAAGATATATAAATACACGTCGATTGAATAATCTTTATTCATTTGAAAGGATTACTATAAATATGCAAAAAAAATAATGTAATGTTTCGCTACCTTATCTGGAAGCGAAAAATAAAATAGGAGACTCATAATCCTCTATTATCGTATTCTGAGGTTTCTCATACTGTGCATTTCAATAATATTATAAAATTATTTAATCGATGCATCATTTCCTCCTGCCTCCCCCGGTATACCTAGAGAGTTATTTGTGTAAAAAATATCCCAAAATACCTTATTTCGGTGTTAGTCTATTGTAAAACATACATGCATTGCTTTGGAGATTATAACAATATTTTCTATGCTCGCCCAGGAAAGATGAATTCGTTGAATGTATCACCTCTTCAGCGCTCACATAGAAAATATGCTATATCTAGCTTCCAGCAGAAGCTCAAAAGCAGGATGTGTGGCAAAAGTTGACAATGACATGGTGAGACAAGATAGAACAGAACGAAAAAGCTAAAATTTAATGAACTTTATAACCAAAAGCATTACATTTTCAATACAAACTACAACTATCACATTGACTGATGAGCAGTTCTTGGTAAACAAAAGAAAGAAAGAAGAAGAACAGCATGAACTGTTCTTTAGAAGCCAATGCTTGGACAGCCTCTCGGCTTGTTGTCGCATGGCAAGTGAAGAAGCCTTGACATGACTTCCGTACTGCCAGGTGTATATCCCAAACCGTAGGTCTAACGTTAGCTAGAGATATGGGTCTAGGTGTAGCTAAGACTAGAAAGATTTGTATCCGTAGTTTAGGGCTTGATGCTAATAGATTAGATTAAGAGATTAGAAATGAGGTAGGGAGGTAGGCAAGGCTAAGCCAAGTGTCAAGGGGTGGCTCCCAACCATTTTACGTAATTAGGCACACGCATAATTGAACTTAGCACACACTGCTCTTAATTTGCGCTGTGATCTGAATATTGTGACTAAAGAGAGAATGGGAAGACGAAACAGGAAATCGTTCCTCAGATAAATTTCATGGTCCTAGTGTTTTGCTTCAGCTGCAAATATGCTTAGAGATTGGCGGAACCAGAATTTCGGAATATATTAATATAACAAGCATCGTGTACTCCTATTTGCTAATTCATCACTTTTGGTCAGTTTCAACCACAGCGAAACATACACTGCATTACCGGCTCTGTCCGTATACTTTGTTGTTGGAACCAAATGAAGTTTTCTAAAAACGAAGTTTGAAGTTTCGACTACAAAGTTGGCGCAGCTAGTGGGATTCTCAATGGGATTTTTGTCGATTAGCCCTCCGAACTAGTAGTAGGGGGGCCGATTTGACGTGGGAAAAACCGTGAGAAAAGTGATATCTTTAGATCTGGGTGAGGTTATCTGAGGCGCCCTTTGTAGGCCATTTGGGAGGCTCCATACGTGTTACGAAAAGTAGGATTACGAGATGTTCAGATTGTAGATTAGAAAAACATTCGCCGGCGTGTATTTCTAACCTGGAAGGGGCCTCTTATACAAAGCAAGTACTTTACCAGCTAAGTCATTGCGGGGCGTCGCAAATTGTTCACTAAATGCTGAGCGTGTTCCACATTGGAAAGGTCAAACGTTGCAGGCACGACGGACGGTTCCATAGTCCATTGAAAATAGGCGGCGCAGAGTGTAACCTTCTAAAACAGACCAATGTTGATAGATACAGGACTATACAATATATTTATTATCCATCAAACCAACAGCAATTGTATAGAATTCGTTATTTGTAGACAGAGTGTAAAGTTAGTAGTGGATCAACGGAAGTCAGGTGATAGAGGGCCTCAAAACCTATCGAATGAACCCCTATATGTGTGGTCCGAAATTTTATAGTTCAGGAGATATTTGCAATTTTGTGAAAAACGGGATAATGAACTTTTTGCATTTCAATGCTAAGGAGTTGACATGCTCTTTCCATAACAGCTTCCTGTCGAAAATTACTCCTACGATACGATCTGACTCTTGACAGCATACGTTTAAGACAGGGTCTCGATGCGGTGCTCTGCAGTCTGCAGAAATGTAGTGCAACGGTTTTTTATTTTGAAAATTTAAGTCCGTTCTTATAAAGGGCTGACGGGTGCTTTCAATATCCTCGGTACTGTCTGCAGAGTAGTAGATAATGAAGTTGTCAACATACATTCATTTGCCAATGTTTTCGTCTATACACTGTAGAACGTTGTTAGCAATGATTGTAAATAATGTAACACTTAAAGCAGAGCTTTGTCGAATGTCATTTTTTTTGTCTTCACGATTGACATATCTTATAACGAATTCTAAGCTTAAATGAACGGCTATCTAAAAAGCTAGCAATGAACTTACCACAAATGACAAACTGACAAAGGGTGGATAAAACAGCAAATCCCCAGGCCATGTCATATGCCTTTTCGAGGTCAAATGAGACCGCTACTAGATGACTTCTATTAGCAAAGGCATTTTGAATAGCCGTCTCTAAGTGAACAAGTTGGTCAACAGAAGATCTATTTTTCCGGAAACCTGTGTGGTAGTTCGATTCTAACTTGCGTGCCTCTAATATTTACATTAGTATCTTGCCCATTCCATATTGTAGATAGCATGTTAGGGATATAGGTCTATAGTAAGGGTCCGACGGATCTTTACCAAGCTCAAGGAGAGGGATGATGATTGATTCAAGCCATTCATCAGGGTACTTTCTTACCATATTTTATTTAACAGCTGTAGGATAATTCCTTCTTGTGTTACAGGTAGGCATAGTGAATCGAGTCAGTGCTGGCAGTAAGTGTGAAACATGAATTATAGTGCGAACTAATGGTTTCAACGAAGGATGCGATTTTCAGTTTCGCGGTTTCTTTGGAGGGCAGCTGGGTCTGCCCTACAATTTGTTTGACGATATCATTTCAAAGTGTTCTCCAATGGCGTTAAATATATCTGTAGTGTCTATTAAATAATTTCCATCTATCCGCAGCAGAGGAGCGGGAGAGACAAATCCTTTCCCAGATATACTTCTGATTTTCGTCCATATCACACATATGTTCGCCAAGATTCTCTCTGATTCTTAAACATGAGTGCCTTTGCACAAGATTGCGTCAATTTGATCATGTTGGCTAGGCTAAGATGTCTTTTATATTATATTCAGTTATGGAAGTGGTTATCTGTAATGATGTAAGCTGTTCTCGATATTTATCCCAGTTCGCTTTTTTAATGTTCCACCTGTCAGGTAGTTGGATGCTTGTATTCTGGGTAGCGCAATTGGGAGGTGATCTTCCAACACTTTTCAATAAAAAAGATGCGATATACCTGGAGTACATGAATGAATCGTGAAATTGGAGGCATTCCGGTCACCATAAGGAGCCAGCGCATAAGCCGCCTAAACGGACCCTTATGACCCTCTACATTCAAGCCTCGCTTTTCTAGCGAAGTTGAGTGTGGCCTTGAGTCCAAGCTCCTTGACGTTCTGAGGGTCCAAAGTGATGGACCCCAGTATGCTCGGCCTGTAGTAGCTCAGAGCTTGGCAGCGAGGTCTCTTCCTCTACCCCGCAGCGCCCACACAAGGGATCCTCAGCCACTCCCATCACGTGCAGGTGGCACCTTAACGTGTTATGGCCAGATTACAGTCCCACCAGCAACCAACCTTAGGTGTTGTCTTGCAATCCACTTCTCCATTTTCCTCCTAACTCTTTGCGCGGGCACTCCTAAAGCTGGCTCAGGTCCAACGAGCTTGCTGGCTGACCCTGTCTTCGCCAGAGCGTCCGCCGTCTCATTGCCCTTTATCCCAGCGCGCCCCGGTACCGGGTGCCTCGCTGCCAGACAATCCAGAACCTCCCTGCATTGCAAGACAAAGCTCAAAGTAATCTTACAGTCACTTAGGTCCTTCCCCCTCCAAAATTCGGGATGCATATGCCAGATTTCCGCTTGGAAAATAGTGTTGCATCCACCAAAAGGCAGAGATAGCCTAGTTCTAGGCCCAGAGACGCCTGCGTCAGAGCCATCTTCGGTGACCGAGCCGTCCGTGTACTAGACCTGCCCACTCATTCCGGAGAGTCTCCGGCTACCGGCGTCCCACTCCTCCCTCGATGGATACTCCACCTTAATCTTGCAGTTGAAGCGACCTTTAGGGATAATGAGATCACTCCTGCTTAGAGGGGTCCTCCCTTTGCAGTTCGACTAAGATGGCAGTATGACCTTTGACAGGATTCAAGGAGTCCCAGCTGCCATGACTCGACAGTTGATGTGCGACTACTTTCGCTTTACC